GTTGAAATTTTGAAACCCTAACTTGCCTTAAATTCAGAATTCAAATTTGATTCTATTATATATTCTATAATTGAGGCTGTATGCATTAATGTATGATCACATGATTTTTGTACATTTTCTGCTTGAGAATATCATGTATCCATTTTCAAAATTATGTCTTATTGATAGTAACAATTTAAGAGTAAATCGGGGGTGGAGCTAGAAAAAACTTTTTTTTGGGAGGGCTGCAAGTAGTCATCAACTAATCAAGGGATTTAGAATTTTGTGCTAATGGGGTTAAAGTGTTAGGTTCAGCAAATGGGTTGGCTAGAAGGGTAAGAAAGTGAATATTTAGTAATAAAATAAATATTTTTTATATAAATTAAAAAAAAAAAATTGTGGGACCTAAGACCGCAGGCCAACAAATAACTTCATCGCCAAAGTAAATGAAATAGGAACGATGAAAAAAGTTAAAAGAAATTTTTACAATACCGAAAGTAATATTATATGCTTTCAAATCCTTGAATCATGGCACGATAATTTCAAGGTTGATACCAGAGATAAGATTATCCTAATACTAATACTTTGGTAGAACCTTAGCATGTTATTGTCCGGAGCATCTTATAATAGGGTAGTTTAGGGTAATATTACGCATACTTACGGATTATACAAATCATCTTACTAACCTTTACTGAAATTATATATGGTATATGTATTATGTGTATAGTATCCGTATTATACTTTAGGTTAATACACTGGTTAGTAAAATCCGTTAGTATGTAAAATATGATTGGATAGTTTAAGTTATCGACTTAAATCCTTGGATTTGGGTTTGATAATTCAATACATATTAAGAGTAGATGAAATGAAAACGATGACAAAAATTCAAGAATTGTTCAAAATATTTTACATAAAGCTAAATAAGGGTTTGATTATTAAAAGTTAATAACATGATTTTTTTTTTCTTTTTTTTGGGAGGGTAAACTTAATAATTGTCTCTCTCGCAATTCGAATACAAGATTCCTGGATATAACTAATCCCAATAACTTATATTTTTAAATCTGAACAATTAAACTCATTTCAAGACCATCTTTGGAGTTCTAAATAATTGGGCCATTGCCTTATAATGCTAATCTAATAATGGCTTAAAAAGTTGCCACTCATACCAAATTGACATCAAATTATTTGTTTATGTTATCAATAATCACCGATAGATTCATAGTGGCCATATATTTACATATAGAAAGAGACAACTCTTTAGCTTTTAACGCTACATAATATTTTGCTTTTTCCAATAGTTTATTGTCTGCCATGCATGAATCTACATGTGGACCAAGGCACTGAGCATATTCCTAAATCAAATCCAATGACTCCTTTCCATATATATAGACCATCCACCGCTCCTTAGGTTATTCCTTTATCACCAATCCATTTCAGAACTATTTTAAACTAGCAAAGACACCCAAATTTGTAACTATCGTTAGATGAATCTATCAACTGACACATTATCTTGTGCATAGAGATAGAAATTCCCTTGTATTACCTGCCATTTGAGTGAATAGCAAAGACATCCAGATTTGTGACTGTTGTTAGGTGAATCTAACAACTAAAATATAATTGTATTGATGTAGTAAGAAAACTAGTACTATTGTATTATTGTAGTTACAGGTCTAGGGGCATACGTAAAGACAGTATCGAGTTTTGTACGTAAAGATAAAGTTACCCTGAATTTGTAACTAAATAAATAAAATAATAGTTTTGTAACTACAACAAAAGTTACAAATATGATCGTCTTTGCTAGTTTAAAATAAAATATTGTATTGCTGCAGTTACAAATCTAGGGATATACATAGAGACAATACTAGTTTTATACATAAAAATAGAAATACCCTTAGTGGTTACAAATTCGGGTGTCTTTGCTAGCTAGTATAAATTAATTTTTTTTTTTTTAATCACTTAGTAGGTAATATAAGGAGCTTTCTAATACAACGTTGACAAATTCACCTATCCATAACCCTTTGTTAGTATAAAGTTATTTTTGGGGTGCATTGAATGGCCGGATAACTTAAGGGAGGCCCCAACCAGCACAAAGAGAGAGAGAGAGAGAGAGAGAGAGAGAAAGAGCCGGGGGTGGGGGTCCAAAAAACACATATATATAAAAACATGAAGAATGTTTGAAATGTGAGGGCTGGCTGGCATGCATGAAAACACTAACAATAATTGAATAATGAATTTACCCTTACTTTGAATTTGTGAGCCAACACATATGAGCAGATTGATAGTATAATATTTTTGAGTGTTACAAGAATGTCTTCCACCTTTGACTCCTCCAAATTCTAAATTATTTTCTTGGGAAATGCGTGGTATTATATTATTTTACTTAGAATTGAGCTAGTTTGAATAATTTTCTTCAACATTTGCTCTTATCAAGAAGCTTTGAAGAACAAAGATTTGGTATCTTCTCAGTATGGATGCTGATAGGGGTGTTCAAAAGAATAAATTAGAATCAGAACTAATGGGTACTCAGGATTTGGTTTCGGTTCTTACCTGAAACCAGTCGTCAACAGGTAGTATTCGATTCCAAATTTTTGAAACCGTTATCGTACGGTTCTGGTTCCGGTTCTTATAGTTGGGAATCGAAACCGGAACCGAGAACTGAGACTAATATAAAATAAAATAAAAGAGTAGGGGGGTTAATAAAAACTCTTGTAGAAAAAGTAATTTAAATACATTTATATTTATATTTCATAATATTTAAAGTAAGTTGGTTTAACTTTTGAGAATCTATCTTTACAAAGTAATGGAGTTTGTAATTTTGAATTTATAATTTTTTTAATTTTATTTTTGTTAACAAGTGCCAGGTGGGGGGGTATTTATAAGTTTTTAAGGGTTTTTTTTGTCATTTTAAAAACTTTTGGGGGGTAATAATTTTACGGGGTACCTAGGAACTGGAACCGTCGGTTTCAGTTCTAGTTCCAGTTCCAAATTTCAAGGAACCATCGGTTCTGATTTCGGTTCCTTCAAAAGATGCAAGGTATCCGGAACCAAACACTCCCACATGCTGTTGAGTTCTCAAGTGAACCCTAATTAATCCTCATTTAGTTGAGTTATTATGTTTACCTTGAGGTTTAGGTTCACCCTTTTTTTTTTTTTTTTGATAGCTAAGGTATCTAAACCAACTTATACATATTTCGACTAATCTTTAGGGAGACTAATGTAGCAATCTATCGCTATAGTCTCTCACTTAAATCACGGATACTCAGATGAAAAATTGAACTTGAGACTATATGTCTATTCATACCATCCCAAATTCTCATTAACCATTTGAATTACCTACATATACTAATTATGTTTAATTACTTGAGTTAAATATGTTACCTCTGAGGTTTAGGTTTACTAATCCAAAGCCTACAATTTAAAGTACTAGGATATACCCTCTAATTTTAGCACATGTTGAGGAGAAATAGATAATCAAAGGGTAGAAACGAAATTTTACACATATGCATAAAATGTGCAGATGATTTTGATGGCTGAATCTTGGTATTTAATGCAGAAAAAATCTCTTGGTTAATGTATTAGGTAAACGTTTCTGAATTATTAAAGAAGGTAAATCATAATATCTTAAAACATAGGACTTAAATTAATTAAGGTTGGTTAATCTAAGTCCCCATAAAAAGAGCCTGAAGCCAAGGGAAGAATGTTTAATTAATTTATTAATATTAATTAAGATTCCTTAATTAATTTTATACAGGGAGAGATCAGGAACAGTGTTGAAAGTTAGGAAGTTGTCTCCATTAATCTTTGGCCTGTATATGAAAAAGGAACAGTCCAAACTCACTCTTTTGTTCTTTTCAATTAATTACCAGGGATTTTTTTTTTTTTTTCCAATTTGAATTGAACGCCTAACACCACACATGGGTGGCTAGACTATTTTTTATTATTTTTATTATTTTATTGTTTAAAAACTAATTTTTTTGGGTAAATCGGTAATTTTATAAAGAATAATAACCTAAACAAGCGTTTTGCCCCTAACATCGAGACCCTTGGAACAAACCCAAGGGACCGAACAAAATAAAAAGCTAATAAAAGAACTAAAATATATAGAATCTTTGCTATATAAAATATTGTCTCTAGAATGTTTATCATTTCCTTTGGTTAATTATCTATACTCCCTTTTAGATCAATTAATTTATAAAACGGTTTTCAGAAACGATTAAAACTTTTACGACAGTGCTTTTAATATTTTTACAGACATTTTTAACAAGTTATATAATAATTTCAGACATTTTTAACAATCTCGGAGGTTCTTTTTTTTTTTTTTTTTGGGGGAGGGGGAGATGGGATTAATTACAAAAGTTATATAATAATTTTCGGAAATTGCGAAAACTCTTTGAATTAATAATCTTGCAGACAACTATAAAGCTAATATCCCTTTCATAAGTGGTAGGTGAATAAGCAATTTCAAATATCACCATGTTAAAAAATTAAAACTTTGTTATTAAAATATTATGAAAGCAATTTTATCCAATAAGGATTTAAGTATAACTGCCCAAAAAGTATGAGAAAAAGGGTCCCAAAAATAAAGATGCAGATTCTCTAAAATAATTAAAAATGTATATTAATTGGAGGAGCTTTCTTCAAGGATTCAAATTTCAAATTCTATAACTTTAATCAATCTAGCTGACAATTAATTAAAGCAATTGTATTAATTAATAAATTAATGAAGTATAATCAACAATAACAACAAGTGCCAAATCTGATTAATATATGGGCTGCTTTTGATGGGTTATCAAATTTGCAGTTCAAGCCCAAGAACGATTCGACCCTTCCATTTTTCATTTAGTTTTGTGAGTTTGCTTCAATTCAACCTTTTTTTTTTTTTTTGGGTGGAGATTCTGTTTATTACTTAATTGTATTTGGATTTAAGAGGGGAAGTAAATTTGAGTTCAGCCCATCAATGAAAAATCTAGCCTAAAATGAAAAAAAAAAAAAAAAGAATAAACATAAACAAATAACCTACATGAAAAATATATGCTGGGTATCGTCATAACCAGAAACCTACTTCTAAGAAACCCATTATATACTGCAATTCATGAATGTAAAGGATGTTTGAACGTCTCTTCCTCCAAATCCAATGCAGTAACCAAGGATGAAGACTTTAACACCCAATAGATAGATCCATAGACTTGAAACTTTAGTGGGAAAAACCAAGAAATTGTTTCTCAAAGAGAAGATGTTGAGAGTTGATAACCAAATCCAAATAAATATTCACAATGATCTTGTTCTTGAAAGTTTGAAATTGCCTTGGACTCTCTTGTGGATGGATTGCAGACAACCAAGAAAGGGAAACCATTACTAGAGGTCGACGGAGAAGAGAGAGCCTGAAGCAGAAATAAGGAGTCTTTGTCTTTGTGGTTGAGTTGAGTGGATCTTGATAAAATGAGGCTCGGCGATTAAAGCTAGGCATGAAAATTCAATTTGTAGGATTATATATTGCTTTCATTAAAATGGCTATGGATTTTCATTTCATAAGACATTCATATGTGAATAAAAACCACCACATTAAGTGAACACAATGACCCTTTTTTTTCTTTCAGGCATTTCATCAAACATCTCTCAAAGGGCTCACCTCTCAACGCAAACCCTCCTTCAAGCATTTCATCAAACATCAAGGTATCAGCCAACAGTTCTTTCCTGGTTGACCCTATTAACAAATTCCAGTATTCCCCTTAAACAGCTGCTTGCATTGGAGGAATATTATCAGCCAAATGCCAAATGTCACCCGTGTCAGAGGTATAGAATTCAGACGTCAACGCCAATATAGTACAGGCTCTCACACCAAAGGTTCCTAATACTCCTGGAAATTCATAGGATTTATTAATTGAGGAACTTCACACATTTAAGTTGAGATTTATTCAATTGTACATCCTCTGAAGTCCCATTTAGGCCCACTTTGTTACAAAGATCTGACATAGCATTTGAGGTGAAAAACAACTGCTTCGGAGTCACCGAAATCATCTTCTGGTTCAAGAAGCTTCATTCCAACCCATACAAGTTCCAACTTGGTCTAATCAATCTGGCATAGAACATTAAAATTAGAGAAAAATAAGATAGAATTGGGTCAGAAATAGAGATATGGACTTACCAATATATTCTTTTAATCTTTTTGATGGTGGTTCATCATCATCATCAGAATAATCTTCTATTTCTTTCTCATTCACCTCATACCTTTTTCACATCAAAATTTATATGAGAATGGAAAAACAATATAGTTAAAGTATAAAATTGTAAAAAAAAAGATGATGAGAGTTCAAGAGCAATATTCGTTGAGGTCGTTAAAACCAAACAAATATTAAAGTTTACCTTGAGCTCGATTCGCCATTTATGAAATTTGAAGACGTTATTATCTTGGAGATTGGTTCGTCTTCTGACCCATCACAGTCAACATCCACCGTTGATCCGACCAAATCTTCATTTAACTCATATGAATTCCCAAAAGTAGAGCTACTGGATTTGTTGGTCCTTGGCTTCAACTCTTTCGTTTCTTTCTCGTATACCGGATGGATCCCACACCTCTTCACCTCGAATGCTGGATCATTTGATTCAAATGAAAGCTCAACAAAATCTTGAAAGAATAGTTCATCAAAATGCGATAGCACAAGATGGTCTGACCCAATCGTGACCCAACTTGACTCGCCAAATATAATGTCAGCAAATCTCCGTTTTTCACCAGTCGCATCGCAGCCAATCGCATATATAAACATGATTTTATCTCATTGCATGACAAAATCTTGACGACGATGCTCATGCAAAACGAAAACACAGCAGACAGCACATCCCACGATCTTGTTATCATAAGAATCTGGAGGCTTGTCTATTTTAATTGAAGAAGCTTCACTCTTATGTTGGAACCACTCTGGAATTTCACTTCCAGGAAAAACCAATTTAAAAGCATTAATTGACTTCGTCTGATAAGACGTTCCCTGAACTCAAAAAAAGAAAGAAAAGTCAGAGAATAATGTTTAACTCAAAAGATGAAGAGAGAGAAAGAGAAATACACTGACCTTAATGGATTCTCTGTGCATTGAAGATGCTAGATTGTTGCAGCAGATCAATTTCAAGCAGTTTATACATGAAAAATAAAACAGCTTGGATTTGCATAACCTTAATGCATTTGATGTTGTTTCCAGTGCAACACAACCATTTAGGTCAATACATCTTATGTTGGGCGGAAGTTCTGGTAGAGATCGAAGTCTCTAACAACCGTTGAAATCAAGATGTCGAAGCTTAGAAAGATGATCGATGCTTCCAGGTAGTGAAACAAAATTGTTTTTGCTAAGGTCTAACATTCCTAATGAAGAAAAGCTACCGAAAAAGTCATTAGGAATCGCTTCTTCCTCCATATTGCAGTCACTCAGAATCAAACTTTGTAAAGATCTGCAAAAATCTGACAAAGTGGGCAATCTAAAAGTATCGAAGAAGACTGAAGACGAAGATTTTGATGGCGGTCCTCTGCATCCACTAAAATCTAACTCTGTAAGATTCTTCATAAGAAAAAGGGACGCCATTGGCCGTCTTATCGCAGTTTCCCTTACTTTTAAGTCTTTTTGTCTTTTCCAGAAAGATTAAACGCTCCAAAGTCTCTGGCAAGTTATCAACTTCGGAGCATCCAGAAAGATAAGATGTTCGAAGAGATTCCAAACCATTGACTGGAAGACTCACAAGATTTTTGCAATCTACCAAAGAAAATTCTTCAAGTCCACTCAAACGTGTAATTGACGTTGGCAGTACTTTGATAGCAGTTTTGCTTAAATTGAGGTAACGTAGACAATCCATTCTTCCTTCAATCTCTGGAAACTTCTCCGATTTGTAGCAATCACCTAATATAAGTCGTTCTAGGGATTCCATATGAATCTGGTTTGGAAGAGTTGTAAGACTCGTACAACCAAACATACTAAAAAAAGTAATCTTTTTGTGAACCAATAAAGATGGGTGAACCTCACGAACATTTTACATCCTTCAAGATACACTTTCTTGAGATTTGGTATTTTGATTAAGTATACACAGTCTTTAAAATCGATGGATTCCAAATTGTTGAAAGGCTGTTAAAAGAAAAGAAGTTAGACAAAGATGTACTTTTCTTAATTTTCCATATTTATTAAATAATAAGAAGCATAAAATATTTCATAAAAATTAAAATAGGAAAGTTTAATTGAATTAATCTTACTTTGATTTCCTGTGGCATTTGTTCAATTCGACTCTGATACATTTTTAACTCAATAATTTTGTCCAATTGTAAATTTGGTGGTAAGGATTTTAAAGGGTATCCTCTCCAATCAAGTATACGTAACTTGTTGGAAATGTAATCAAGGTCTTCCGAAAATTGAACATTGCAGAGCTTGAGTAATCTTAGATTGATCAGTTTTGAAAATGCTTTAGGATGACAATGGATCTCTTTTGTAGAAAGGTTGAGCATCATGCCTTCAACCTTTTCAGTTCCCTTCAAAATAATTAAAGAGAGAGAGAGAGAGAAAACAAGTTAAGAATTATTAACACATGAATTGAACTATATAGATACGAGCGCTAACTACTTCAATATATATATATATGTAATTTGCAGTCCACTTGAATAAACAAAATGCGACAACTTTCCTCTACTTATAGGTCTGACATTAACATTTTAACATAAAATTTAATTGGGTTGCGCAAAAACTCTTACAAGTAACACAAAATCTTATGAAAATAGTTCTTCAATTTCAAACTCACTTAATCTTACATATGCTTACACCAATTTTTATTAACGAAATTATTATTTTGTAAATTTCATAAATTTTCATGATATTTTGTAAAAATGAATTTTTGTTAAAGAAAAATTTTAGAAAAAAAGGAACTTTGTATTCTTTTTGAAAAAAAACAAAAATCATTGTCTAAATTTTACAAGTAAAACATATAACTCTTTTTAACTTTTCAAATAATTTTTAATTTAATTTTTAAATTGTGAAAATATTATAGGTTTTCTATAATATTTAATTTAAATATATTCATGAATCTATAGAATATATATTTTATTGATTTTTTCCTTACTCTTTTTAAAACAATATAAAAAATGACTATCAATTTTTTTTTTTTTTAATTATAGATCGTACTATTCTTGTTGTTAGTATGCTCATGTATATCGAAAGTATCTAAACTAGGGAGAAAATAAATTAACCAGAAGCCAAAATATAATTTTGGAAATAGAAGTGTTTTTGAAGAACAAGAGACTTTAATATGCTCAACTGGACTACAAATTGATCAACAAATAATAAATTAAACATGCATGTGTAATCTAGAGAGGCTAACTACTGTGCTAACAATGCACTAGCTCACTACTCATATAGATATTTAACAAAATTGAATTGCTTACTGTGTTTTTTGTCAATACATGATGATTCAAAAGGTGCACATGATTTTAACAAAATTGAATTGCTTACTGTGTTTTTTGTCAATACATGATGAATGTCCGTTTCCATCCACAATCTACTGCGTTTTCCAGGCTCTTCGAGACACTCTCTCTTGACAATTTGTTGACCCATTTGTTGTAACAAATCATGCATCCACAATTTATAGCCATTATGAATTATGAGCGATTTATCAATTAGAATATCTATTCCAATATTTGGAAAAAAACCACAACTTTCAAGAATCCTTGTCACATAAGATCTACCCCTTCCATTAAAGAAACATGCTATATCAAGAAATATTTTTTTCTCTGATTCTTCTAGCCCATCGAAGCTTATTTGAAGTACGTCCAATATTTCTTTTTTACAATCTCTTTTTAATCTTTGCAATGCATCTTTCCATATATGAACTTCTCTTCCACACAAAAAGCAGCCCAAAACTTTAAGAGCTAATGGAAGACCACTAGCATACTGTATAACACATTTGGATAACTCCCTAAAACTTTCTGAAGGTTGAGGTTTCTTAAAGGCTTTTGAACTAAATAATTTGAGGGCGTCATCATCATTTAACTCCCCAACCTTATAAACTTCATCTACTCCATGGGATGTCAACAAACTTTTGATTCTTGAAGTTATTATGATCCTACTGCCCATGCCAAACCAATCATGCATGCCAGCTAATTTTTCTATTTGCTCTGGATTGTTCACATCATCTATAACAATAAGAACCTTCTTACACCCCAACCTACTTCTTATCATGCTTATTCCATCAAAGTCATCATATACGTTGATGTCATCTTTTTTCATATGTAGAATTTGGGAAAGAAGCATCTTTTGTAAAGAAACTAGATCACTTTTTTCAGAAATTTCTCTAACATTAGCCAAAAAACTACTACCTTCAAATTTACAAGAAATCAAGTCATAGGCAACTCTAGCAATTGTTGTCTTGCCTATTCCTCCCATTCCACAAATCCCAATCATACGTACATCATGTGACTCAAGACTTATAAATTTCTCTAGTTTCTTCAAACGTGAATGGATACCTACTAGGCCCTCAACACTTGTGTATTTTGGAAAACATAAATTGCTTGATATTTCCTTCAGAATGTCTTCAATAAATTGTGCCTCATACCTGAAGAGTGAAAAAGATCAAGAAAAAATTATGGTTACAACATACAACACTAGCTAGTCATGAATAGACTATTGTATAAATAGTGTGTATCATAGAAATTATCTACATACACCTATGTTTACAGCATTCAGTCTCTATTGTAGTTATATTGTCTCTATACTTTTTGTATTATGTACTATGTGTCTTACTTACAGTAAGAAGGAAAATTGAATAAAAGAATTCATGCTTGTCTAAGAAAAACCAAGTTATTGATTATTATTGTCATTACTTGGTGAAATATGAAAAAGCTTATTTTATTAATTATCTTTTACATTAATTAATTTATTATTAGATACTATCTATGTAACATAAGAATTTGTTAATTAAATATTTCATTGTACGAATACTTTTAAATTTCTGATAAAGATAAAACTTGGTTTGAATAAGAAATTCAATGCTTAATTTGTATTATCAACACTCATGATTGGCGCATTTAAACAATCAAGTCATGAACATCATTTTCATAATTCATTTTGATAATTAAACTTTCCACCATAAAGATGAAGAAATAAGTGTCACATACCCATCCTTTAAGTCAAATCCAGAGAGATTGGCCACCTCTGTCAAAGCAGTTCTCCAAGTTTGCACCTTTCTAATGTCCTCTCTAAAAGTTTTTTCATGTTTGACAAAGGCTTCTTCAAATTCGCCTGTTTGTTTTCTAACCACTGAAGGATCCACGTTATAGAAAACTGGAAAAACTTTTATATTCTTGCAATGAACAATTTGAACAAGTTCATCTAAACACCATGTGGAAGAAGCATAGTTTTTTGAGAAAACAACAACCGCAGATCTTGATTCTTCAATTGCATGAAGGAGCTCTGGCGAAATGGATTTTCCTCTCTCAAGTTCTTTGTCATCCCTAAAAACGTGCAATCCTTTTTGATTGAAAGCTTTATACAAATGATCTATGAAGCTCTTCCGCGTGTCTTCACCTCTAAAGCTTAGAAAGACATCATATTTCCAACGACAAGAAAAAGATGTTGATGAAGAGGCTATTTGCATGATGACTTTACAAGTTTGTTGATATTGTATATGCAAGCAATTTCGTCCTCTGTCAAAACCTAAAAAATTAATTAGAAAGATAATCTAAATTCTTCTAGCCCATCTATAAGTATTTTCAATTTCTAGAAAAGAGCAAAAAGAAAAAAAAATCAATCTCATATATTTTATGTGAAAATTATTTTTTTAACAAAGAAACCACCAATTTGTTTTTTCTTTTTTAGTTTGTGATCAAAGAAATTATACTTAGATCAATATGTTTCTATCTTTTAGAGACAACAATTAAAAAAAATGTTTATTGTATTATTATTTTCTAATTATAAAAAAAAAAAATGATATCATATTTTGACTATCTAAAAATTAAAAGATACGTGAACAAGTACTTGAAAAAAGAAAAAGAAAAAAAGAAACAAATCCAAGAAACAACGGAAGCACTTACAATTAATCAGCCTTTGGAAGCTTAGATTTGATACTCGAACTTCAGAAACTTTGGAAGACTATGAATATAAAGAATCTTCAACCAAATTTCATTGTAATTTTGACTACTTGTTCAACTTGTTTAAAACATAGATGTATCAGTACGTTCATAAAATAAAAATAAAATAAAAGAAAAATAATAGATATACAAAGCCCAAGTATGTTACCCAACAAACAAATGTATCCGGACTTTAATGTTTTATAATGAGATGCAATTGGTCCAGAGAAAGTATGTAAAACCAGATATGAACTAACAAATAAGGCAAATAATAGATAAAAGATCAATGAAGGAAAATATTGATGAATATATTTCAAAAGAAATTATACTTACAGCTTTGAGGGTGTTGAAGCGATGGAAAACCATTAAACTTTCTTACTTATTATGAATGATTTCTCTGATTTTCCCCTCTTCTTGAATGAAATCTGCATAGAAAATTGTAGAGGAAACGCAAGCAAACTTCCAGGAAAATCGATGGAAATTTCTTGACAGTTGCGTGAAGGGGGAATAATTCTCTTTTCAATTTTGTCCCCTAGTCATGGTTGTGAAAATGACGTTATTGCACCGTTTAATATTTGCTTTCCCATTCTAAAACCCAGGTCAAATGAGAAAAAAGCAAGTCATGATTAATGTATTTTTATTAAATTTTATAAAATATTTATATACGAAAATTTAAAGATTTTTATTAATTAAGATGTTATTTTATTAAATTATATGACATTTTTATTAGTTTAATTGGTATTTATAGTCAAATTTATCTCTAATAAACTCTTTTTTTCAGTAACCTATCCTATTTGAAATTAATTTCAATCAAAGTCTTCAAAATTATCAACAAATTTTTATTAGAAATTTTATTTTCAAATAAAAATATTTGAAAGAATCAGAATGAAACATACTCATTATATTAAATCAAACTGATCACTTAATAAAAGCTTTTAATTTTTAATTATTTTCACTTTCTCTTTTTTATTTTTATACTTAAATTTTGAATTTTTTTCTTTTTTTTTTTTACCTTTAAGGGTTTTCAGTTCTGTCTCTAAATTCAATGGGTTCTCATATTTTTTCTTTTTCAATTTTTTTTACCTTTTTTTGATAATTTTTAAATTATTAATACATATTTTTTATAGTAGAGAAAAGTAAAGAGGAAATAGTAGAGAAAATACCATAGAGCTTTCAAGAACTTTATCTCAAATTGTTGGCCTTCTTTTCTTTCTTGACTGTGACTTAATAAATGTATATTCTAACTAGCCAACATTAGTCTGTTCTATAGTTAACTAGATTTTAATTTTATCATACTCACTATATTATATTGATTTCATAGATAATAAACTAGATTTTAATTTTGTTTCCAAAAAATAAAATGTTTTAGATATATATGCTTCCAAATTTATCTCACGCCACCAACTAATTTTAACATTTATATTTTCATGAATATTATAGTAATTAATTAATTTATCTATTTTACCATACAATAATGAGTATTATAATCTAATTGATTCGATTTAATTTCAATGTAATTTCTTTGTTGAGCCGTGTATGTTAGAAAAAGGCTATAGACAGTTCTAACAATGTATCATATCCCTTGTTTTATTTCCTTATCAGACCTACCAAAAGAAGCTTTGATTAAGGAACAATAATAAAGTTAAGAGGATTAGAAATTTCTTGGCAATTGCGTAAGGGGGAATAATTCTCTTTTTAATTGGTTGTGAAAATGACGTTATTGTATCTTTTCATATTTGCTTTCCCATTCTTTTCCTTTGATATCAGTGTGATGTAACACATGGCACACAGCGACCCAAATTGATGTAGTAACCAACTGTTGTCACATGCATTTTTATTTCTTCATTTTCCTGGAAATCCCCTTTCTCCAATCAGGAAGTATTGAATCAAAGCACCAATTGTTTTTTACGTACAAAATAACTTCTTCCTAGAAGCAATATCTTCAGCTAATGTGGTTATGGATCACATGTGTTATGTCAAAAAGACGCACTGATGTTAATACCATCAACTAGAGTCTAATAAGTATTTTGAGGGTAAATTATTATTAATTATCAAAACTCAAATTATCTCAAAGAGATATTATATAGCATATGTCTTAACTTTATCAAAATAAAGGATAAAGATTAAAGAGTGATTCTCATATGTCAAGACAATTTATAAAAGATTAAATGGGTTGAGGTGTGTTTCATACTAGCTAGTTAAGATATCATTGTATATATAAGGAAGTATTAATACAAAGAAGTATGAAGAATTGGATTAAGCCTTAAGTAAGACAATCTTATATGACACCATATATGTTATGGAAATTAATTGCATGATCATTCCAAGAAATTTCCTTGCCACCGAATAATCAGAGTGTCTCATCCTTTTCTTGCTACATTAATTTGTTAAATTCAAATGAAATGACAAAATATTGGACTGGGACTTTTGTTGTAGGTTTGTATGAGTGAGAATAGCTCCTCTAAATTAGAAATTGATAAATGGACGAATTTGTTGAAGCCATCGAGGAATCAAGTTCAAGCCTCAAAGCACTTCTATGGTTTCAGAGCATAGCCGTTGAAGCGTGAATGCGTGACATATTGGTCTTTAAGCTTCTCCGTTTGGAATTAAATTATCTTTTGGTCCTTGTCTTTAATCTAAATTCCAAATTTATTAATTAATTGAATTATTATAAAATTTCCATCGTCATCCAATAGTTTTATATAGCAAGTTGATAGGAAATTTTCATTAAAATTTTAAAAATACTGAAAGAAGAACAATTCAATATACTTGGCAAAGACTTGCAAATTAGGGTCCACTGTCAATGCGGACACTGTCCCTTACGGTTAATTAATTTTACAAATTAGGGTCCACTAATTAAAATAACAAGCACTCTTGATATTATATTGCTTTAATTAATTAATTAAAATTATGTCAACATTCATCGTCTCTACCTAATACGTGTTAATATGAGTAGTTAAACCTAATTTAGTAACACTTTTTATTATGTCTTATTGAAATAAGTTCTCAAAATAAGACTACTGAGTAGGTGTCAAGAAAAAAAAAAAAACTTTTAAGTTGTTATCACAATCTAAATGGAATCGGCATGTATATATCTTTATTCAATAGGAGTTGATTTTTAGTTTGGAATTTCTTAATTGATTTGAATACTTGCATAATGAGTTAATAACCTTTTAATTTTATTTTTTTTATGATTACTTTATATATACCATAACTTCATCTATTTTCCTCCTCCAAGGACTTGATTTAAACTAAATTTTCTTAAACGTAAATCAATTACACCATTTTGTAACAAAATTACTTATTTCATTATGATATTCATAAGAAATTTGCTTGCAACTCATCAGTATAGTAGTTTAAGCAAAATAAATAGTCTCATAGTTTTAATTTTATATTTTTATCAAACAAACAAATACTTAAAATAAAACAATCGGTTTCAAGATTATGAAAATTTAGAATTAGAATTTATATAAGATTCAACGTTAAAAATTAAAACAAAAATATAAAATAAAATATGAGTGTATTTAGAAATTATAATATTATTTCTAGTAATTTAAATTAAGGGTTAAATTTATCAAAGCAAAAAATAAATTGTAAAAAATAAGGGTAATAATCAATTAGGTGGAGGCTAAAAATCAATTTCCAACTTATTAATATGCACAAAAATTAGACAATGGTACGATTGTGAAACAAGCCATAGACTATATCCACTATCCAAGTGGAATACAATGGCCACAGGCCACCACAGCCATTTATAAAATATTCGAGAAGGCCGAACGACTTGTGCATGCTTAAGGTTTACCGTAACGACAAGTTGGTAACCAAAAGGTTTTGAAACGACAAATAGGTACCTTCCGTCATGTTCTGTTAGTGATTTCTGTTTATTAATAATGAAAATACTAAAATGCCCTTTAAAGTTTCAATTTTAGTTTTTTATAAATTTAAAATTTTTTAAAAAACCCCCGAGGTTTGCTAATTTAATTAAACACCCCCATATATAAAAAGTTTGTTAAATGACAAAAACACCCCCACCACCCCAAGTGCCAAATTCCAGCCACCATCGCCGAAATCTGGCCGAAAAACTGCATTACAACACAAACCCGTCGGATCTGTGTCGTAAGGTGCCGATCTGGCCCTTTCTGGTCAGATCCGCCACGGATCTGGTAGGAAAAGGCAAGATTTGGCCGTCAAAGCAACAGCCAGATATGACATTTTCCGGCCAGATCCGTGGCTGATCTGGCTGGAAAAGGCCAGATCTACTGCCAGATCTGGCCGTCGATGCCGCAGATGGAGTTTTGCGGCGTCGACGGCTAGATCTAGCCGTAGATCTGGCACGGATCTGACAGAAAAAGGCCAGATCGACGCGTTACAACACAGATCCGATAGGTCCGTGTCGTAACACAACTTTCCGGCCAGATTCCAGCGGTGGTGGCCGGAATCTGGCACTTCGGGTGGTGGGGGTGTTTTTGTTATTTTACAAAATTTTTATATATTGGGGTATTTAGTTAAATTCGTAAACCTATGGGGTTTTTTAGAAATTTTTAAATTTTTAAAAAACTAAAATTCAAACTTTTAAGGGTATTTTAGTCTTTTCACTATTAATAAACAGAAATCATTAACAGAACATGACGGAGGTACCTATTTATCGTTTCAAAACCTTTTAGGTACTAACTTATTGTTACAACAAATCTTGAGTATGTGTAAATCGTTCTCCCTATTGGAGAATGTCTTTCCACCATTTGATTATCTAATATCTAACCCATCTTAGAGTGATGAATCGCCACGTGTCGCAAACCCAATAGAAGCGGTTGATGACGTGGGTGTCTTTAGCACGGTCAGTATGTCGTTAAAACTTAAAACGTACTTGGTTCGTTTTGTTTTGCTATTCTCACTGCCTGTGTTTTAAGTCTACACGACGCATGAATAGGATTGGAGAGAAGACTTGCAACGTACGGCATGTGATTGGGGTGGGAGTGTTGTGGAAGGTTTCTATGAGTGAGAATAACTCCTCTAAATTAGAAATTGATGTTTGTCAATAATAATATCCTTATTAAATTTTTTGGATTTGTTTAATAAGTGTATAACCAGGATTTGCATTCAGCTGAGGTGTACATTTGTGGAATTTAGAAGGCTCGGTCTTTTTGCTTATCCCTTTGGAATTAAACTCCTTTCGGTCCTTGTCTTAACCTAAATTCTACCAACCCTCTCTTGCTTTTTAAATCTAACAACTCCAATTTCCAATTTATTAATTAATTAAATTATTATAAATATTTTTATATAGAAAGTTGACGACACCGTCACTCACCTTAATTAATTTTACAAATATTTGATCCACTAACTAAAGTACCAAATAGGCTGAACAACTTTTGCATACCCAAGATTTATCGAAACGACAAGTTGGTACCCAAAAGGTTTTGAAACGACAAATAGGTACCTTCCGTCATGTTCTGTTAATGATTTTTGTTTGATAATAGTAAAAAGACTAGAATGCCCTTGATACTTTTGTTTTTTATAAA